GGCCCCTCACCAAGGCTGACCATCTCTAAGTACATTAAGAAAAAAAGCAGAGAACTGAACGCTAGTGTGGTGGCTTAACCATGGTCCTGTCCTTCAGAGGCCTGACCTCCTAGGGCCCATCCCGTTGGTCATTATATTTAGCAACATAGCACTTTGTTGATATGGCCGTGGGCTATAAGTCTGAGATGCTCTCAGGAGAGACTGGGCTAAGGAGAGCTACTTGGCTTCACCATGATGGATGCAGATTGTTGTGGGTTTTTTCATTGTTATCGCCCCTCTGACTTCTCACTTCTCTTAGTCTGAAAGTGTAAGACCACTCCCCTCCGAGCCCTCTCTCCTGCTTGTTGCTTCTGCGGCTGGGTGGGAAATCTGCTTGTCAGGACTCAAAAATCTGCTCTAATACAGGCCCAAGAGCTACTCCAGGAGGCCTGGGCCTCAGTGGGTGGGCTTGAGGACATTTCTCTGAGGACTTGGCAGCCTTTCCTATTTACCTCCTGGTCCTCATCTCACGCTGCAGACATTTGGTACTGGGAAGAAGTATTTCCATGTTAACGATGCTGACCATATTTAGGCAAAGGCCAATGTGTAGGAGGTGCACAGTTAAGAGGAGAAATATATGGATATTTATTTATAGGGACAGGAACAAGGTGAAAAAAACAAAAGTTCTTAGATAATACTCAGACGTTAGTAAGATAATGATTATATGCAGCTAGAACGGGAGCTGGGCAGTGGCCATTCCAACATAACTAAGATCAACCCACCACACATCTGTTTAAGCATTGTACTGTTTGCTCATTGTTTTTTTGTATGTTAATTCTGCCTCTCTTGTAGACTGGGAACTCCCGAAGGCCAAGCCTTATTTCCTATTGTTTCAGTTTCCTCGCCGTTCTCTGTCCAAAGCAAAGGTTTAGTACATAAATTGTATTACATTTAAAAAGCAAAAGATGACAGCAGAAAATCACTGCCACTTAATAATGTCACTGTATTTTAATTGCGATGAAAATTTTAAAAACCATTATAACCAGCATTCCATGCTGATACAGTGAATGTTGAAATTCACTGCAACTGGAGCCATGATTAATCACGTATTTTATCACAAACAAGTTATCATTTACAAGTTCAATCATGTATTTTAGGGTAAGCTTACTTCCCTAACATCTCTTTCTTTTAAATTATATGTATTATGCTAAGGGCCAAAATAACTTCTTGGCTCATCAAAATCTTATGGGTCTGATAAAAAAAGGTAAATAAAGTTTAAAAAATTTTTGACAGAGTAACAAAAACGTAAAATTATGAACTAGAATTAGAACAATCTTCAGGGATCAGTTAACATCTACACACCCATTATACCAGAGTTCCTGTAATTATGAAAAAAAATCCCCAAATAATGTTTTATAAATTTCATGATGGAGAATATAACAAAGGAAAAATATCTATCTCATTTACTGCTTATTTTAAGTCTTATTCTGTGATAACTAAAAAAGGAATACCAAATATTTATGCCAAAAAGAAAGCTCTCTTCATACATAAATTACTCACATGCAATGCCTGTAGTGCTTTTTAAATTTTTATCCCACAGCTAATGCAGAAAGTGAATAAAAAATGTAAAGGAATGTGGTATTTACATTGTAACTAAAATTCAGTATATGAAAAATGTCAGTGGTAGAGTGGTGCCTCCAAGTGGCCCAATGATAAATTGCAATGCACTGATGGAAAAGTTAGAAACACTGTGTAACTGCTCGATTTTGTCAGGTTCTTTGATTAATCTAAAAGTGCATATTATATTTCACAGGGGCTCATAATAAGTGTCCTTCAGACCATCTCAGATTCATGGTCTACCTTAGTCACTCTTTTAATAAGAAATGCCAAGGGATAATCTGGTATGTAAACATATGATACACTTTCCTCATTACCTCAAGGGTTAGGGATGTGTCTGTAAAACAATAAAGGGAGTGTCAGATCTACACTGATTTATTACGGGAACAGCATTCAAAACATTATAGAAAAATTTTTAAAGAATTAATTTTTTATCCTCTAACATTAACCAATTCCCGGTGTATATGGCCTAGTGTGTAAAGCAAAATTTAAAACCTTACCCAACCTAATTGCTTAGAGAACGGGTGGTGCTAATTAATGTCCTTTGCTCACACAATGAAGGTTCAACTGTCAACACTCTGGGAAAAGAATCTAAAAAAAATATGAGTGTAGTTTCCCTCTCTCCATACATGTATTAAATATAACAATTACAGATGAGTTGCTATCTTATACAGCTAAAAGGTCAACATTCTGAGGACCAATTACTTTTGAACAGTTATACAACTACAAAAGAATATAGAATGTTTACAACCTCTATAAGAGGTAAAGAAAGTTCTTTAAAGAAGTTTTAAAAATCACATGTTTGACATCATATTTCTTTGATTTTTCTCTCTTAAAAGTGAAATGCAAAAGAAAAACTTCCATTTAATAGAAAATTCCAATTTATAGCCATTGGGTGGTGATTAGATAAAGTTTTATTAGGCTTCCTTTAATTATTTCTTAACTCGGATTGTTTATAAGTAAGATGAATCTAGACTGTTATTGAATGATACTTATGTGTAAGACAGTATGATATCTATCTTTTATACTTTATATGTATAAATTTACAAATGTATATTTATTTGTAAATATACCTTACATTTACTCACATTATATCCTTTATTACATATTTATATTGATACGTTATACATATATAGATATCTATTCAACCCTTATCCTTCTTATCTATAAATTATACCCATTTACAGATAAGAAAACTAAAGCTCAGATTAGGAACGTTACATAAGCTAATGTAAGAACAGGACTGGCTTTGCCTCCTGACCTGTTCATGGCCAGGCCTGTGGTCTTAACTGTGACACTACACTGCCTTCCTTCTAGCATGCTAGGATTCTGTGAGCAGCCATATTCATGATTCTTCACGGTTTTAGCAGAGAGTTATAAAATTAAATGTCTACGACGGTCGGCAGGTGGTGGAAAAGTGTGACACAGGTAAAAGAGACAATGAGGAATGGCAAGAATGGGGCTAACTGGGGCACAGGGTCTGTCTGAAGGGGCCAGCTGCTACCCAGCTCCAGCCCATGTTAGCTACGTAGGCAGCAATGCTAGCAAATATTACCAAATCTTTGGATTTTTTTCAAGAGAAGATAAAAGATTCAATTTTTATGAGTCTTTTTTAGAGCCTTTTTTTTTTTTTTAGAACTGCTCATTTTTAAATGCTGGCAACTAATTTAGATTTAAAAAGAAGTACTATACAGGCAAAAAAAAAATCTGAAGGCTAAACATGGCCAATATGTAATATGTTGCAGGGATTCTGATGATGAATGATTCCTTTCTGAGAGATTCTAAACCAGACCTTCTGACATCGAATGATTTGTCAAATATCCTCAGTACTGGCTTCATTCTACACACCTAGGCTTGCTCTATCATCTTCAGCTCAAGTCACATGCCTTAAGACTAGTTCAGGTACAGGAAGGGTCACTAACAAATCACTTTCCAATCACCCAACCCCTCTTCTCTCTCATATTCTCGCTCTCCCTCCCTCCCTCCCTCCCTTCTTTTCTCTTTACACACACACACACCCATCATTTCAAGTCTGTAGCTTTCAGGTTTGGTCTTCACACATTACATCCCTTTAATCAACTTTTTTTTAGCCCTCCTGTGAATTTTTTAAAAAATTCTTCATATTCCTCCTTAGTTGAAGAAACCAAAATTGGCCACAGACTTTATAGTGTGGTTTTACAAGTCCTGAGTCAGACGTAGGTCTTACTTTCAATGTTTCCATAAAGATTCTCTAGTAATTTTCAGAAATTCATCATCTTGTTTTAAATGGCTGGAAGAGTACCTCTAGGACGTAAAAGGGAAAAAATTCTTTTCAGTGGGAGTCCTAAAGCATGTTTTAAGGACACCAGACGAGTACTAGCACTGTTCTTCAGGTAGGAATTTATTGAAAACTATGAATTCTACATAATTTTTAAAATTCTGGACATAGAGACCATTTAAAAGTGTGACTCTTAAAGTCGGAGCATCAGTAACATTTACCTTTATAATTCCTACAAAAATATTAAAAAGTAGAAACTTATTTATCACACTAATTTTAAACCCACATTTAAATATCCAATGGGAAAAAAAGCTGGAAGAATGTAGAGTAGCCTCAAAATAGATTATGTGACAGGAATGTGTTCTTCAGTTAAGGGCTGATTTCTTAGATCATTCTTTCTTCTGCTTTCTCTTCCTCCTGTATTTCTGATGCACAAGTTTCTTATCCTAACTTCAGTTCCAACTAATTTTCCACTCCAGCAAATTCAAACAATTTTAAGCTAAAAATGAATATTCATCCTTATCCATAAGAGATTTATGGTTAAACACCATTAAGCATTTTTCTCTACTATGAAAGGCTGTAGAATCCAATCAAATCAAAGGAGAAGAATAATAAGAAGTTCATCAACATAAGCTAATTTTAAATGGGGGCCCCTGTTCAGTTTACATATCTAATTTGAGAACTGTAAAACTACAGACTTTGAAAAACTCTTCCATAGTAAAAAGGCAAAGAAAATTGATACCATAGTACACCCTAGTCACCTCAAATGTGAATTTCCATTTATTTGCATTTCATAACATTTCTAAAACTGCAGTCATTATAAACAATTCTTATTCTATTATTCACAAAGTCCCAATTAAGTTAAATTGAAGCAATGCTGTAATTGAGATTCTGGTATGCATAGAAATTGTATTTTCATGTAATTTACCCCATTTCCCTTCTCTAAGTCATTTGGGTATTTTACTTACCTGCTGAAATGCCTTCAAAACTCTGATCTGAAGACACCACTCAAGGAACTTTTTTATTTCTTACTAAAGAAATTCTTTAATGCAAAGGTCAAAGTGAAACATACTCCATGTTTTTAATCAGTTAAAAGTTGCACACGTGGGCAGCCAAGTCAAGATTTGTAGAAAATATTTTTACTTACAATTCCTCTCCTTGCTTGGCTTTCTTGTCTGAAACCAGGTAGACAGTTCCAAAACTTCCACTGCCAAGTTTCTGTTGAAGCACATATCTTCTTGCGATCAAGGTTTTTGGATAACTGGAAATGGCTATTGATCCACTCACATATTTAGCAGTTTCTTGGAATTTCAGCATTGTTCCCAACATGAAATAACTGGTTTCTTTGTTTACAGAAACTTAACATTCAAGTCTCCTAGGGGATAGTGGAATTCATCCAAGTAGCATTGGTCAATGCCTTAAAGATAAAAAGTCCAGAGATCAAGTCTAAAAAATGTTGAACTATTCCCCCCAAAAAGTGTAAGTTGTTGGCAGTGTTTCCTGTACCTTGATTAGTAGACTGAATGATCCATGTTGGTTAATTTTAACAACTTGAAAGAAAAATGTTACAAGGTGGAGACACTGAAGATTCCAATAGAAGGTAGTCTTTCACAGGGAGTGAACCTTCCCTCATACATTCATATTTAGCAAAACTGAGTTACAGTCAAATTCTCCCAAAGTTCTGAGAGGTATATACATTTTTCAATCAACAATCTGTTTAAGATATATGCTCTCCACTTACTTTTCAAAAAACATCCAAATATAAGAACATTTTCATTTTCTTAAATCTATATATTTGCATCAACCTTTTGTAAGTCTTTCTTCCCACCATATGTCTATTTTTTTAATTAGCAAATACCAAGTTAAGAATAAACCAGAAATGAGCATGATGTGGTTTCTTTAGACTTTTTTTTTCTTCTGTGGACTTTAAACCATGGTATTTGCATTTCTTGGAACTGATGTGCAAAGGGATAAGGATTCAGAATGAAATTTTTCCCATCCTAAGCAAATTCTAATCCAGTTTCTAAAGCTTCAGTTATACATACTATGTATAGAGCAATCTCCCTGGATTGGAAACAATAACTATCACAAAAGCAGTTCAAGCTTAAAATTGTATTTTAATGTTAGCTGAATATAAATGTGTTATAGGTAAATCTGTAATTCCTCACAAATGCACAGGAGAATTATAAAAGTCAGGACTGTTTCATATGTATGTGCATGGTAAAATCCCTTTTATTTCATCAAGATATAATATTGTTTGTTTTAAATCTATATAAAAACATGATTTTAAATTGAAGACTCTACAACTTGAAGTCAGGTTTCCTTACTCAACAATTCCAAAGTTATGAGACAAAACCTATGGTATACAATGATAAAACAAGATGTTGTCTGTGTAGTTTGGAGTACATAGTCAACAGGCTTCAGAACAGAATATAAACACATAAATGTCCATTTACAAGTGATTTTCAACCTTTTTCATCTCATGGCACACATAAACTAATTACTAAAATTCTGCAGCACACCAAAATATTATATATTTTGCTGATCTAACAAGAAAAATAGGTATAATTTTGATTGAGTTACAAAAAAAGAAAATAATAGTAATTAACTAACCTTTGTACTCCAGAGTGACTTTTAAAAAAATCAAGTTACTATATTTATATATAAGGATATCTGGTACCAAGTAATAACCAACCAGACACAATCTTATTATACAACGTGACCAATAAGATGCCACTCTATTATATGACTTTATATATTTATGGTTCAAAATAGGTAATTCACACCAGATAGTTCTTGTTGTATTGGCTGTTGTCATTTTTTTCTTTGATAGTCTAAGGGAGAAGAGGTCAGTGTCCCTGACTAAAATAGTCAGGTACTGCATATTTTAAACATTCTTGGGGCACACCGGCTGAATAAATCACTGATTTACAGCATTTTCCTCCTTGGAATAATTTATTAATCAAGTAAGTTTCACATGATGCCAGGGAGGAGACTAGAACCAGCTAAGAAAGAAAGGAAGAAAGGAAGGGAGGGTGGGGGGAAGTAAAAAGAGGGGAAAAGAGGGAGGGAAGAAATTAAAGAAGAGAAAGGACCTGGCTCTGTGCTCTCAACAATACTAACACAGCATTAGCACTGAACTGGAACTTCAGAGCTGAGACCCATTCCTCAAAATCCCTGAATAAGTAAAAAATTAAGTAGGATTATCAAGATCACAGAAAGTATTAGTAAAATCTGCTGAAAAAAAAAAAAAACAACTGGAGAGCAGGCCTCCAAATGCATCTTTCATTTGCTTCCTCTGCTAAGATACAAGTGAGGCTTTCTGGGCAACTTAAACTGTTCAAAAAAACAATGTATGGACTTACGGATTTTTCAACTGGAAGAACCCTTCAGATCACTCAGGAATTCTCCTTACTTTAAAGATGAGATAAGGGGTCTCTGTTTAGTGAGGGAGAGAACAGTTCTGAGTTTCCCAGGGGCTCCCATTGGCAAACGAGCCTTTAAACCCAGCAGCGTCTAAACGGCCTGGCTCCAGCCACAGCGGGCTTTGGAACTAGGTTCCCTCTGGCCCTCACTCACAGGTTCAGCCCTGCTGCCCGCTTCCAAGGTCACCATTAGGCCATCATCATTTCGTTAGTGTCCTCTGTGTAACCATGGAGCTACCGTTCACTTGTCAGGGTGCCCTTGCCCCCACCTCAGAAGGTCTGGAATGAACTTGAGAGCCCGGAACACACCTTCTTTACCTCTGTATCCGCAGTGCCTGGCATACAGCAGGTGTTCAATACACTTTGTTGGGGCAAATAAGCATCCAGCAGAACAACAGCTGACCGAGGAAGGGAAAATGTATGTGTGGTAGGGGGAGGGGAGAGAAAATTTACAAAGTTGGATGGAACCGTGAGGAAGGTGAAAGATCACCACTCTGTGCAAATTGGCCCTTGCATGTGAGGATGATCTGGCTGGGGACAAAAGACAGGGGGAGGGAGTGTTTATCACAGGTTGAAGCCAAGTAGTTCTCTTCCATGGCAATGATAAGTGAGAGGACGCAGATTTGACACCAGATTCTGCTAAATTAGGAATCCAACCTTAAAGGTAAGCCTAAACTTAAGGTAAAACTAACATAACTGTCTCAACTTTTCTTAAAGTGGTAACTTCGCCAAACGGATTAACATATACTGAGAGGGCACAAGCAACACTTATTCGCCAGGGAGTGGAGCAGATCCCGGAGGTAAGAATTCGGGGGAAGGGAGGAGAATCGAAGGCTTGGAGTTCCGGAGATGCGGACCCCGACTGGGGCAGCCGGAAACCATCACCTTCCTCGGCGCCGGGGAGTCCGGCACGCCCCGCGCAGAGCTCCTTCGCATACCTTTCCGAGTCGAGAATGCAGGAGCCGCAGCGCCAGGTATCCCCAGTGTCCCGCCCCCAAGTGGGACCTACGATAGATGAGCCCTCAGGACCCACAGAGCTCCGGGACCACCTCCGGCCACGTTTGTTGAGCTCCGTTGCCAAGGAGACCGCGCAGGGCATGCTGGGAAGTTGGGAGAGGCGGCCTGGACTCTGTCAACAGGGCGGAAGTGTGCTCTGACTCAAGTGGGCGGGGAAAAGAGAGGTGGCCGCTAACCTGACAGCAGCCACTTTGGAGTGGACTCGCCAGCGTTCTTCAGCGATCTCGCGCCGAAGAGCCCGCTCCCCTACCCCCAGCGCAGCCTGGCGCTACTGGCTTCACGGAACCGGGCTTCCCACTGACGTAGACCGGGAGACTTCCTGTTCCCGCTCTCAGGTGCGGGGGCTTCCGCTTCCAGTACTACCTTGGCTCCTGAGGGCTTCTAGTGGACGGGCCGGTTCTATGGGAGGACGGAGCTGGTGGGCTCTGCTCTTGGTCCGATTGGCGGGTTGTGAGAGCCCTTGTGGCGCGGTGTATGAAGGCCCGTGTTTCAGGATTTAGATCAAACCTTTTGTGCGCCGTTCTCCTATCCAGCACGCATTTGTTCAACAACTGCCCGTGTCCTGTAATTTGCTTAAGATGAGTTGACACGGTCTCTGCTGTCAGAAACTTTACGTACAAGACGGACTTTTAAAGAAATAAGATTATTTCTTTATACTTATCAGAGATAGGGCCAAGACTAGGGTGAAAGTGAGTCAGATGCAAAAGGCAAGGGATGTTCAAAACTCTGTAATCAAGATGAATTTTAACACAATACCTTTAAAATTCAAAATTAATGCAAAAAAAAAAAAATCCGTGGTTGACAAAATCTCACGATTTTGTAACAGTACCATGCTGAGCCATTATGGATTCTAAGGCCAAAGGAAAAACTAGTAATTCTGATCCTGTGACTTAAGTTAGCCAGATATTGAAGGATATTGCCGGTACCTTGGCCAGGTATACAAAGACAAGAAGGTAAGAGCCTCTGGTTGGGGTAAAATTGGACAGTTAGTTCCTGGAGGCATGAATACTTTCCTTACCATGCCAGTTAAGATGGTCCCACAAGCTAATGCCTGAAATAAGTTCCCAGACTCTGATTCTCAAAACAAACAAACAAACAAAAAAACCTGGATCCATGTCATCGACCACACACACTTTAATTAACTGAAGCCCAATGCTTTCTGATTTACTAATTATAAGATTAAGAAGAATATAATTTTTATGGCTTACAACTTTTTACTTTGAGCCCACAAAGCGAATCTTCTGTTTTGTAAGACTATTGCCTATATCAAAGTCAACAGAAATTCTATAGTAGTGTGTCAGCAATGGACTTTAATCAACTTTCCTTTAGAATCATTAGCAACCTCATTCGTATCCCAGGAAAAAAGTCCATGAACCACTGAATCTATGCCTCGCAACGCATGGGGAAAACAAAAAAGAATGAAAAGGCACTCAACTAGTTGGTCTTGCCTGAGGGTCTAGATAAGAATTGAGATGCTGACACCTAATATGTCGTATTTAAAGAGTTCTTTATAACATTTGTTGTTGATTTGACGGTGGTGGAAACAATGGGTTGGTCCCCTGTAACAGGCATCAATTGAAAGTGTATTCCATTGTTTTAAACAGGCAACTCTTCAGACAGTCATCATGGGTATCCGAGGACTAATGAGTTTTGTGGAAGATCATAGTAATGAGTTCTTCATTGATTTGAAGTTGCGAGACACAAAAATTATTATTGATGGCTATGCTCTCTTCCACCGGCTTTGCTTCAACTCAAACTTGGAGCTCCGGTATGGAGGGGACTATGATTCTTTTGCAGATGTTGTACAAAAATTCTTCGAATCACTGTTTTCTTGTAATATATGTCCATATGTTGTATTAGATGGAGGATGTGACATTTCAGATAAAAAGCTTACAACTTTGAAGGATCGAGCTAGAGAGAAGATCCAGATGGCCCATTCCCTTTCTGTTGGTGGGGGTGGGTATGTATGCCCCTTACTCATCCGGGAAGTGTTCATACAGGTTTTGATCAAGCTGCAGGTATGTTTTGTCCAGTGCTTTTCAGAAGCAGATCGGGACATTATGACACTCGCTAATCATTGGAATTGCCCTGTGTTATCGTCGGATAGTGACTTTTGCATTTTTGACCTGAAAGCTGGGTTTTGCCCACTGAATAGCTTTCAGTGGAGAAATGTGAACACTGTTAAGGGCACACAAGACTACTATATCCCTGCCAAATGCTTTTCCCTTGATGCACTCTGCCATTACTTCAGCAATATGAATAAAGCACTACTACCTCTCTTTGCGGTGCTATGTGGAAACGACCATATTAATCTGCCCATCATGGAGACGTTCTTAAGTAAAGCACGTCTTCCTCCTGGAGCTGCCAGTTCTAAGGGGAGGAGACATCACCGAGTTCTGGGACTTCTGAATTGGTTGTCTCATTTTGCTGAGCCTACTGAAGCATTAGATAATGTTCTGAAATATCTCCCCAAAAAAGATCGAGAAAATGTTAAGGAGCTTCTCTGCTGTTTCATGGAAGAATACCAGCAGTCCCAGGTGAAGCTGCAGGACTTCTTCCAATGTGGTACTTACGCCTGTCCAGAGGCCTTGAATCTGGGTTTACCAGAATGGGTCCTAGAGGCTTTGGCCAAAGGTGAGCTCTCTCCTTTCATCAGCGATGCTTTGGTGCTAAGAAGGACCATTCTTCACACACAGGTGGAAAACATGCAGCAACCAAATGCCCACAGAATATCTCTGCCCATCCGGCAAATCATTTATGGGCTTCTTTTGAATGTTTCTCCACATCTGGAAAATGTGTCCTTGAATGCATCACCTCCTCGGCCTCTAGCTTTCAGTGAAGTGGAAAGGATTAATAAAAATATCAAAACAACAACTGTTGATGCAGTAGAACTGCCCAAGGATTGTTCTGACTTGAGCAAATTGACTGAGGTAAGTGTTTGTGATACTAATGTAAATTTTGTAAAGCACTTTACAGGTTACAAAGTGCTTTCATGTATATTATCTCTCTTAATGTAATAAACTGAGGTTGGTTGCCATACTGCCCCCATTTCATAGCTGGTAAAGCTAGGGCTCAAGAGTGGTTACTATGTAATACCTCGGCCAGGGTGTATCAGTGCCAGGACTCGGAGCTTTTAGCTCCAAATCTTCCATTTCACTGTATTTCAGTAGTAGTCTGTTAGCTCTGTAATTATTACTACTACTCTGTTGTTACTAGCTATCAATATAATGGGGTAATGTGGCTTAAAAAAAAAACTGGCAAAAAAATTACTAGCTACGAAAAGAAAAAAGAAAGAAAAAGAAAAAAAGTGTGCCTAAAAGCATTGGTCATAGACATAACTAATGTATCAGCCTGCATCAACTTTCAGTTAACAAATACTGATGCTTGGGTCTATTTCTCATTTTTATTAATGAGGACCTTTTTATAGGCTTTCAATTTATGGCCTCATGGTGATTTGCTTAGTTTGATAATGGAAAAAAATGACTCTTAGCCTAAATAGTGTTGCTTAAATCTGAGTAACACTAGACTAATCCCCTTTTCACGGGAAAAACATTCTTATTGATCCCAAGGTTCATTTTGTTTTTCATATTAATAAATATCTTAAAAATTACAAATAGATATGAAATTGCTTATGCTAACACAATTAAACTTACAAATTAAATGCAGATAAATTTACAATAACAGTTTCAATGCCCACTGGAGTTTTTCTTAGATCCAACCAAATACTCAGATTCACAAGACTCGCACAGATCACTCTTGGGGCCGGTCTACTCAGGGCTGTAGGACGGCAACCACAGCTTCCCAGCAGGTTTGAATCGGTCTTTCCCCTTCTGTGAGAGACCTTGGAGCATTCCACACCATTGGTTCTCCACTGGGGATGATTTCACCTGCTCCCCAGGGGCATTTGCCAATGTCTGAAGACACTTTGGATTGTCACTGCCTTGGCGGGGGCGGGGAGTGGGTAAAGGGAGGGAGGTATTGCTACTGGCATCTATTGAGTAGAGGCAAAGGATGCTGCTAAACATTAGTGATGGTTGCACAAGCTTATAAATATACCAAAACCACTTTAAAAGGGTGACTTTTATGATGTGAATTATCTCAAAAAAAGAAAAAGTCTCATTTGCCTCCTTACCCACAGGATTCAACCTTTGTTTTAACAATTCCATAAATATCACTTCTGGAGTCTCTGCAAGGGACATGCTTCATTACAAGTCACTGTATTCACAGAAGCCCCATGATATGGTGTCCCCATCTGGTGTTTACAGTTTATAGTTTAAGTCTAGATGCAGTTTTACAAGAGTCATTTTTATCATGTTAAGTAACACAGCTAACTTTATCGCATCTCCAGGGTTACAGAACTAGAAAGTTGAGCATAGGTCAAATTCCAAAGAGAAGAGATTTATTAAAACTTTACCCACACCAATGAAATTGAAATTAGCAATGCTCTGACCCTACAGCTCAGTTGGGCAGCGTCCCGCTAAGCCAAACGTCGCTGGTTTGAATCCCAGTCAGGGCGCATACCTGGGTTGCAGGCTCAGTCCCCAGAGTGTGTGCAAGAGGCAACCAATCGACGTTTCTCTCTTTCTTTCTCACTCCCTCCCCCTCTGCCTAAAAATAAATAAAATCTTTTTTAAAAATTGAAATTAACATTCAAAAAGATGTTTTGCTGAAATTACATTGCTACTCATAAATGGTGCTGTACTGGAGGATTTTTTAAAAACTCTTTATGGCTTTGTTGAGAAATAACTGATGTACACTGAAGTGCCCATATTTAAAGTGTGCATTCTTATGAGTTTTGGTAAATGTTTACATCCATGAATCCATTCTGCAATGAACATAACGAATGCATCCATCATCCCTACAAGTTTCCTCTTACCTCTTTGCAGTCCGTCCCTTCCTGAGTATGTACACACAGCAGAGTGCACAGATAATTGGACAGCTTGATGAGTTTTCACCAACCCGACACTTCCATGTAAAGGACACCCAGATGTTATCGGCACCCCAGAAGCTTTCCCTAGTATCTGGCTCTCCTAGT